GGGGGGAAGGGGGGAAGGAGAAGGATTGGGATGGGGGGGGGGGGGAGGCTGGGAAGGGATGAGAAGGGTAAACAAAGGAGGAGGCTGCAATGCTTGGTAAGAAATGTACGCATTATCCTGCCCATGCATTTGTAACCCCTCTGTACAATATGTTCACAAATAAAATAAAATTTAAAAAAAAGATATAGTTTTCATTTTCCAGACATAATAGAGGACCTGGCCTTCTGGTACCAATCAAGAGGAAAGAAGCCCAGTTTAGCTTCTCTTTCCCAAATATGACTAATCTCTCAAAGCAAAATACAAAGAGAAACAAAAAAGAAAGGAAGAAAGGAGGAAGGAAGGAATAAAGAAAGAAAGAAAGAAGGAAAGAAAGAGAGAGAGAAAAACTGGACAAGTTACCATATCAGGATTAGTAATAAAAAAAAGCAAAACTTGGAGAATGATCAGTTGGCAAAGCTGTGAGACCCTGGAGTTTAGAAGGCAACAGACTATCTTCAAATTGTTAAGATCAATTCTGAATCCTATACATGACAAAAATGTCCTTTAGAAAAAAAATGCAAACTACAGTTATCTTTAGAAAAGGAAAAAGAAAGAAATCAAATCCTTAAATCTTTACCCAAATGAAACAAAAAGCCTACATTTATACAAAACCCATACATGGATGCTCAGGTTATAGCTACCTGCAGAACTGCTTCCAGATGGACACCAATCAAATGTTCCTCAACTGAGGAATAGAAATGCTGATGGTGGTATGTCTACACACTGGGACTCTACTCAGTACTAAGCAGGGAAAGGTAATGGAGACCATAGACCACCCTGGAATCTCAAATGCCTGATGCTATGTGAAAGACACTAGAATGGAGACTCTAATACTGCATGGTTGCACTGATCTGGCATCTGGAGCATGTGAACTCACAGGGATGCACAGCAGCTCCAGAACTGGCAGGACAGGGATGGAATGGATTTGACTACAAACACAAGGCTTCAAGGGATTGGATTTTTGCACAACAGCTATGTGTTGGTTGCCAGAGCAGTTTCATGCCTCTAGGAATTGGCTGGAACTCAGAATTGTCAGAAAGGACTGAATTTTCCTGCCAATTGCACATGTCAAAAAAGATTAAAACAAAATCAGAACTTTAAATCCTGATAACCTTTTTCTTAAGATAGCTTTTTAACCATTTTTTTCTAATTGCCAATACTTATATATTCATAAGCAGAAAACAGTTGAAAATAAAATCTACTTGTGGTTCATACCTTCTGGAGGAAGTCCAGAAGCTATTAGAATAAAAAATGACCACACCGGCCATGCCATCAATGTACAAAACTTTATATAAATTCTGAAATCCTTACCAGTTATACAGACTTCTCCAATTCCAAATTACAGATGGGACTCTATGGTCACAATATTTATTACTGGCCTAATAAATATTGCACTAACATTTGGAATAAATATGCACCATCATTACTGTTGCAATGCATACACATGCTATTATTAGTCTTCATACTAGGTGATTTAAAAAAATAAAATAAAGCTACAAGCTCAGCCTTAATTCTTCTGATACCGACTTAACAAGTGTCTGCAATCACTTAGCATATCGATCTATGCCCTGTGAGGACTGGCAGAGTCAAACTGTTAAAGATTAAATTTTAACATACCCTGTCAAAGAGTGCAAAAAGTTGTCGCAGGACATCTGAAACAGGTAACTTCAAGTATTCTGCAAATTCTTCGATTCCAATTCTCCCTCCTTTGGAGGAACTTGCAATGGATGCATACTCATCCAGGTGCTTACGAATGCCATCCCAATCTAGTCTAAGCCAAGAATCATAAACAAACATGATTAGCTTTTTACCACCCACCTGGACTGCTTAAAAGCACTGTTCTATTAATTTATCTGAAGGAAAAACATTGTATAGGTTAAGATTAAAAAGAAGATGCAAAAGGGTTCTTAAAGGGACATACTGAACACATCTGCAAACATTTAATTTTTAAGAAGCATTTTCATATAATTGATAAATATCTTGGAATACCAAAGGGAAAGAAAAGGAAGTCAGAAGAACAATGTGGTGGAATAAAAGTTATTCATGAGAGGAAAATGAGAATATAAATTTTATCCCAAATGTTAATTTAGTAAGTAAGTAGTATTTATTGAGTTGCTACAAAAGACGCTGTAAATCTTACTTTCAAAGAGCTTTTAGGCTGAAAAGTCACACTTCACAAAATATTACTACCTGGAGATTCATTAGACTATACACACTTCCTCCGGTACCAGTTATAATAAATAAATCAATCACAGTGGTGAAACACTAGAAAGTTCTACTGTAGCTTACATCATTTCTGACTCTGTCATATAAAAATTAAACAAGCCACATTTCTACATCTAATTTCAGCATGTAGCTACACTTTTTAATCTATGGGCTACTGTGGATATAACACTAAATAAAACAAGAGCAAAACATTTTACTATCTTGAAGGTAGAAATATTTTTATACCATTTATCAAAAATATGATATCTCATATATTATATTTATTTTATATATTATATATTTATATAACGTATATAAAATATGTAAATAAAAGTATATAAATATATAAATATATTTATGCATACACTTATATACATAAATTTATATATGTTTATTATACATATAAATATATATGTATATATAGATTTTACTTGGGCCCACAATAAGTTTGTGAAAGAGTAGAAAAAATGTGTTTCTTTGGCAAGAAAAGCCACAACCACTGGATTAAAAAAGTAACCTTGTTCTTCCTAGACAGTGTCTAGGCCCTGAGTTCCTTTTGCTCAAGGCTAATGCTCTACCACTGGAGACATAGCTCTATTTCTCATTTTTTTTGGTAATTAATTGGAGATAAGAGTCTCATGGACTTTCCTATCCTGGGTGACTTCAAACTGTGATTCTCAGATCTCTGTCTCCTGGGTAAATAGGATTACAGACATGAGCCATGGGTGCCTGGACAAAATTACTGTATTTTAACACTGAACTTGCATGCGGTGGCTTGTTCAGCATCAACTTCTTAGAAGAGACATGAAGATCCACTGAAGCTGTACACTCTGTACATTCCTACTAGGATTAAGAACAGAATGAACCTAGAACTTCTATACTAGGTAGCTAGATCGGAATGTTGCAAATAGTTCATTCCAAATCACAAAAGTACCAATGGGTGTTTTCCTCTTTGGGAGAAATAAAAACAAGTACCCAGAAAATAATAAAGGTAGATCTAGGGAAAGTATTTTAAAAAGCATTGGTGGTCAGAATTATTATTGGAGCTTCTTCCATGTGAGGTATCTATCATATCATGCTAACCTCCTGGTAGCAAAGCAGGAGCACTAATCAACCATGGAGAGTCATGTCCAACAAGGAAGGCCATCTGTCCCCATGTTCTCTGTCCCTTGCTTTCTTCCTGTGATCAAAGCATGCACAAATCCTCAACTGAACTGTTCTCAAAAAAATACTAAACCCAACAATAAAATGGGAGATAAGCTCCCAATCCTGGCTTTTCCTAACAAACACCGCAGGATCTGAGAATGGGACAATAATAAAGTGAGAAAAAAGATGAGCTCCTTTGCTAAGACCAGTCTAAAAGTATAGTCAGAAGACACTTACTTTAACTTACGGCTGATTTTGGTAAATTCCACCAGCCCAGCTTCCATGGGCAGTGTGAGCTGTCCAGCTGAAATCATGAGCCTGCAGTCCTCATACGTGTGGTCTGTCACTGGCACGCCCAGAGTGCTACAAGAATTAAGAGGGATAAAAAATACAATGTTCCACAAAAGGTGATGATCTTTTTAATGTTTGAACTGATTAACACAGAATAGTACATGGAAGAGCAGAGCTACTTTTTCAATCCAGTGGCTGTGGCTTTTGGTGCCAAAGAAACTCACTTTTCTACTCTTTCACAGACCTACTATAGCCCAAGTAAAGCTTTTAACATCTCATGCTTCTGTGTATATAGCTGAGAAGTTTTGCAATACCTGGTATTGAAATCAAAGTCTCACACATGCTTGGCAAGTGTTCTACCACTTGAATCAAGCTCCTAGCCCTCATTTTGTGTTTTAACTAGAACAGTAATAATTGAATCTCATGCAATCCAGTGATTTTGGTTCTAGACTTATGGATCTTGTATCAGCTGGGGACTTAGTGGCATTGGACCTAAGATTCACTCTTCTCATTGTACCTAGGAATAATTACTTCACAAGGCAATACCTGGGTAGGTACAGGTACTGTTTAAAGGTAAGTGGCATTTGCACATGCACCCAAGCCACTACCATCTGCCTTCCCTTCCCTTTTATAACTGGAGGACCCCTTGCTACATGGTAATCTTTAAAATACTGAGACTAATGGGTACTGAGCTGATATTTCTTCCAAACCTAACAGCATCCATACACAGTGCAAAGCCTCCCTCTTGCCTACCTCCCAGCTGCTTAGAGACTCAATAATAGTGAATTAGATTTGGAAAATTCATGTATTAATAAGAAATGAACACACACATACACACACAGCACAAAGGAAAGGCTATGCAACACATGAAATGCTTTCCTCATGACTCCTCTTCATTAAGTTTTATTAACAAGTGGAAATCATAAAATGATTTTCAATTTTATTTGACTGTGTTGAGTCATTGTTATAAGCGCTAACTTCTGAATGAATGCGATCGGGGTAACACATGTTTTCCATCAAAGACAGGTTTTCTGGGCTATTTTTTTTCTTTGATGAATAAATACATGGGTGTTAGACTATTTAAGAAGGAAAACAAAGCTTTAGAATATCTCAGGAATTACAACAATAACTCGTCACTGGAACAGCTTGGACTCTGGGACCAGGAAATGTGGAGCTGAACCTCAAAGCAGTCGCTAGTGTGGTACAGGGCCCTAAGCTACTCCTTCTTTCCCTCCTGGAGTTGTGAGGATGCCGGCTGGTGTAAGTAAAGGGCCAAGCATGCTACTCAGGAAATAGCTGCAAGTAATAGTGCCACCACCAGCTCCTCACTTCTGCTGGGCTCTTCATCATTTTCAACTGCTTTTATCTCCTATGTTCCTATTTTAGCCTCATAATAATTAAAACCATGAGAGGCCAGGCACTGGTGGCTCACACCTGTAATCCTAGCTACTCAAGAGGCTGAGGTCTGAGGGTCACAGTTTAAAGTCAGCTTGGGCAGGAAAGTCGGTGAGACTTATCTCCAATTAAACACCAGAAAATAGAAGTAGAGCTGTGACTCTAAGTGGTAGAGTGCTAGGACTTAAGCAAAAAAAAAAAGAAAGAAAGAAGGAGGGAAGGAAGGAAGGAAGGAAGGAAGGAAGAAAGAAAAAAGAAAGGAAGAAAGAGAAAGAAAGAAAAAGAAAAAAAGCTCAGGGAGGGTACCCAGGCCCTGAGTTCAGGCCCAATGACCACCACCAACAACAACAATACCAAAAAACATGAGAGGCAAGGCAATCTTTTATATTTCCAAGACAAGAAGGAACTTTGGAGGGGTCTGTGTAGCAACCAAGATTCTCCTTGGCCAAGTAAAGCTCTGAAGCTATGAAGTTCTTGCTGAATTCAGGGTTCCTGCTGAATTTTCAGAGAAGAAAACACTAAAAGCCTGTTGGCTCCAGAGCTCCTGCAGGGGGCGACAAGGAGAAGCAGGCTTGGAGTAGGGTGGGGAGCGTACACCCAACATCTGGCAGGCAGAAGGCGGTCTGGGGACTGGCATGATGTATAGCATTTCTCTGATTAGCATACTGGCCAGTTAAAACTCCTTTAAGTGCAGGAAAATGTTAAACTTATGTTTTTCAGTTTCTGAATCCTAATGTTCTAGACATTCCTGCCTAGGGAAGCTGTTTCCCTTTTCTGTGTATCTGTCCCCTGCAAACTTGGACGGTTTTGGAAGCTGAAGGGAGAGAAAGGAGGCCCTAAAAGCTTCACACGGCTGTGTCCCACAGTTCCAGGCCAGCCTGGAGCCTACAAATGATCTCTTCTGCCTACAACTCTGGACCCCATCTTTCTGAGCAAGGCATATTTCCATTGGTTTGGGGCTGCATTTGGGAGAGCATTTTAGGTGATTTTATTGGCAGCGTCCCTATTTTACTTACCCAAATAAGTTGGGGTAGGAGACACTTAGGAAAAGGAGGAGAGAAGCCTTTAAGCAAGGTTAAGCTACTTTTTACCAATGATTTTCCAGTTACTTACTAGTTATAATGATGTACAGACACTTACTCTGCCATTAAACTCCGGACTCTACTGGCAAAAAGCACAGGATCTTTTTTCTCTTCATCGTTTGGTACTTGAACAGGCATAAACTGAAAGACAAATGCACCTTTCTATAACAGCCCTCCAGCCCAAGACATCAGTGTATAGACGGTCAATCAATCTGCAGAGTACTTTGTCATCTTTGAGTACAGGTGACTAAACAGGAGATCTCCACGCAGGCCCTGGGTCTGCCTGTGTGCTAACTCTATTATAAGATCTCCTTAGGCTCCTCGACTCTGAACAAGGGTCCTGTTTGTTGTGAGTTACATCAACAAGCTAAGGTCTGAAATTCTGAGGTTGCAAAGCTGTAGCTACTAATGCGTTCTCTCACACCTGCATTTCCTCCTTTCATATCCCTTATATAAAAAATGTTTTTTCTTTTCTCCTTTTTTGTATTTTATAGTATTATCTTTCTCTACCCATTTCAAGGTCAACCATATTTTTACTATTTGATTGGACTTTATGTTTTAATCATTCTTCCTCATTTTTCTTTCCTTTTTTTTTTTTAAAGTCAGCTCCCCAGTCTGTCAGCTCAGTTATGCAGGAGGCTGAGGTCAGGAGGTCTGTAATTCCAGGCCAATCTGGGTTTTAAAAAAAGTTAATGAGACTCCACTTCAATAGAAAAAGCTGGGTGTTGTGGTTTGCATGCCATCCCAGCTATGAAGGAAACATAAATAGGAGGATTGCTGTCCAGACTATCTTCCCCCCGTCCTCCTTACCCCACCGCCTACTACAAGATACTGCCAAAGCAGGAGATGGGACCTAGAGAAAGGAACAGTCATAACAGCTAATTCTTGCAGAGGGTGCCCTAAGAAATGTTTGTATGTAACTAAAGATTTTTAGAGGAGTGCAATTTTGCTAATAGTTACTGCTTACTGAATTCTAAGTGTGTACCAGGTGCCATGCTGGTTTTATGAGCATCTTTTCACTTAATTAAGTTTTTCTGTTTTTAATCATCAAGAATTAGGATTAAAATGGTCATCATGGAGGTGCATGCTTGTAACCTCGATTGCCCAAGAAGTAAATACTGGGAGAAGTTGGTACAAAACCAACTTAGGCACAAAGTTAGCAAAACCCTATCTCAACAAAATAAGCATAAATGGCTCATGTCTGTAATCTCAACTCTGTGGGAGACAGACACAGGTAAGAAGACTGAGGTGTGAAGTCAGTCCCAGGAAAAAGAATGAGCCTTATTCACAAAATAATGAAGTAAAAAGAGGGGCTGGGGTGTGATTCAAGTTTTGGTAAAATGCCTGCTTTACAACTGTTAAGCTCAAACTAACAAGAAAAGAAGGAAGGAAGGAAGGAAGGAAGGAAGGAAGGAAGGAAGGAAGGAAGGAAGGAAGGAAGGAAGGAAAGGAGGGAGGGAAAGAAGGAGGGAGGGAGGGAGGGAAGGAGGGAGGGAGAAAAGTTATATGATGTTCAATGTATCATGGCTCAATTAATTCTATTCAACACATATTGCTTAAACACACATCTGTCACATGTCAGAGTTCAGATCTTGGGGATATGGCAGAGAATGCATGCACAGGAAGCCCGCCACACAGCAGAAGTGTGTCCCACAGTGAGAAACATTCAGCAGGAAGAGCTGGTACCCACGATCTGGGGCTTTATATGATTAGCTCTCAACACCTCCCTGCTGCACGTTCTACCATGTCCATCTGCTAGACAAAGAATGGGCAGAAAGAAGTTAAACTATGGCCAAAGCCACACTTACACAGCAGTTATGATTTGAAAGAAAAAGAAAAGTCTGTGTAAGGAAATAAAAATCTCACATGTTCCAAACGGACTTGTTTCTAAATCTTGTTATTCAAGGGTACAGGTGACTCAGAGATGAAGCTAAAGCAAAGGAGATAAGACCAGGCCCCAGGTTTTGGCAGTAACTTGAGTGGGAGGGTGTGGATGAGACTATGCAGGAAGCAGACCTAGGGACTCCTGCAATGGCTCCATGCCAGACCCCAAGAGGTGGGCCAGGAGAGGTGAGGGTGTACAGCGCAGCTGGGACGCGGGGGGGGGGGGGGGCATTTCATGTGCTTTCACTGTTCACGTTCATTTTATTAACTTCTCCAAGGGGACAGTGGGAAGAGCACTGGGTCCTGGCTCTGCTGTAAGGTCCCAAAAGTCATCTTGCCCCTAGGAACCTTCCACTCAACAGGGCAAAGGCCCTTTGCCATTGGATGCATTTAGCATCACTATCCTCAAGGTGGAGAAAGAAACCACCACCAGGGGTCTCCATGTGACTTTAAAATCCCGAGCAACACACAATAAACAAGTACTGCTAAAAATTCCCTGCATCCTAATGTAGTAAATATATTTCCTATATTTACATAGTTTGAAATTCAAGGAAGAAAACATGAGGCTGAAATCAGTGTTGAGGAGATCTCTAAGAGAAATGTTTTAAGAAAGAAAAGTTTTTAAACTGCCAAATATTTCTGTGTGTGTGTGTGTGTGTGTGTGTGTGTGTTAAAGCCAAATGGCCATTTACAGTTTTATAAGTCATAAAAGTACATGTGGGAAAACAAACTATTGCCACAGTGTCAACCAAACACAGCACAATGAAATATGGATGGGCTTGGTTTCTGTTTGTGCAGGAAATATTGTCCGTAAAATGCCTTTCCATCACTCTGGGATTAGCCTGTCATTGTATTCTTGAGGAAATAAACTGCACTGAGAGTACAAAATAGTAAGAGCCCAGGACTCAACACTGTCGGGCCTCAGCGACCCCTTGCCTCCTGGAGAAGCAACATAATGTAAGTTCTACTCAAGTCTCTCCTAGGTAAGACTGGCTTAGACACCTCTCTGCCACCTTGCCCATCATTTGAGCTCCTAGCAGAAGCACATCTTCTACTTGGAAAGGAAAATCAAGCAAAGGGAGGAATGCATGACTGTTATTATTGTAATAGCCCCAACACACATTGAAATGCTCTAGGGACTTTCTGTTTTCTTTCACCTCCACCATCTCCCATCATTCTCTGTTCTCCTAGCAATAACCCAAGCACTATCTTGATTCCCCAGTCCCTTCACCTGGCCACAGACATTGTCTTCAACACCATCTCAGCCATGGTACCCAACACATGACCCTAATGTCATCCTCTGGATTCTTCAGTTCCTGTCATTATGAATTAGGGCTTAACTCTCCCTCACCTGCTCTGGCACAGGCTTATGACATAGGAACAGCCTATGGCCCTCTGCCTGCCCAAATAGCTCAGACAGGAGGCAGGCATATCATTTGGCCTTTCTGTTGCCTACAATCTCTTACCTCTGCCACATTCACAGTAGCTACTCTCAATCCTCTTGGATTGAGAGCAGATCTCGTCTGATCCTGCCTTTTCCTCCTGGGAGAGACCACAGAGCGATGCTAAAGGAAGTTACACCTGCTCCACGCTTCCAAGATGCAATTCCTTTTTTTTTTTTTTACCTCACTCTGCCTGGCCTGCTGGCATGTACATCACCTTCAACTTCAGACAGAAGGCAGCTATGGGGCTTCTGTTCCCTTTCCCTCTGCATCTGAGACTGAGCTCACAGATCCTCACTCACCCAACACACATGCTCTCAGCCCCTCACCGCCATATTCTACTCTGCCAGACTGTCCCAGGGAGAGAAGGCTGACACATTTGTCAACGAGCACCTAATTCATGCTTTGGGGTTCACAGTCCTCACCTTGTAAAGTTTTCTTTAAGTAACTAACAATGTATTCTTAAAGAAATAAAAATCTTCTTTATAACTTCAGTATAGTCTAAGTGCAGAGTGACCATGACAGCCACTCAGGCCCGAGGCCTTCAGGCTCCTTCCCACTTACTATATGGCAGCCTGCAAACTGCCATGCAGCTGAGGTATGCCACAGGCTAGACCACCTCAGGTCTATAGGCCAGCAGCCATAGGCTCTGCCATGCAGCTGAGGTATGCCACAGGCTAGACCATCTCAGGTCTACAGGCCAGCAGCCATAGGCTTTGCCATACAGCCAAGGTATGTGATAGGCTAGACCATCCCGGTTTGGGTAAGCACACATTACAATGTTTGCATAAGGGTAAAATTGCCTAACTTTCTCTGAACACATCCCTGTGGTTAGGCAACGCATGACTGTATTTAGCCTTGCCTAAGCCAAAGGCTCTTTGAAGACTTAAAGAGTGGTATGGATGTCTGGATGTTGATTCTAACATTGTTGCCACAGTCCTTCCTTTCCCAAACCAGATATTCTTTTCAAATCAAGAAAACCCACTTGAACTGCTGAAGGCTGTGAACTGCCCACCTTAAAGTACTTTAGTTATAATCCCAGCCACTACCAGATTACTATAAGTGTTGTAAAGGAATTTTTCTGAAGCAATATGTACCTACAAGGTATAGATTCTAAAGTCAACATGCTCTGAAGGCATGCTGGTATGTATACACACTGTGAAGAAGAAAGCCGGCCTCAAGGTCAACGTGAAGGTCATATTTCCATTCATAAACTAACTGCTGCCACATGGTGGTATTTGTTTGAGCACTCACTGTCATGAAATAAACTAGCATATTCTGAATATGTCATAGTTGATTCTTGTTTTTCAGGCTTGGGATGTTTGTTTGTTTGGCTAGTGCCAGAGTTTAAACTCAGGGCTCAGGCTGAGGAGGTTGTTTGTTTGTTTGGCTACTGCAAGAGTTTAAATTCAAGGCCTTGTGCTTGTTAGGTTTGCTTGCCTGGCTGGCACTCTATCAGTTAAGCCTCACTTCCAGCACCAATATTTTGCTGGTTGTTTTGGAGCCTCTTGGACTTTTCTGCCTGGGTTGACTTTGAACCATGATCCTTCAGGTCTCAGCTTCCTGAGTAGCTAAAATGACAGGCATGAGCTACTGGTCCCACCTTACTAGCTACCTTATTCTCTGTGCTCCTGAGCTATGTGTTTATAAAGGCACATGTAGGAATGGCAAATTGATAAATGTAATCATGAAGCGGCATGTTAGAAACATACCATGATGCCATGTAAATAAGGAATAATTTTCAGCAGAGCTACCCTGTCAACATACTTGTTGCTTAAATCCATCCTTACTCAAAGATGCCAGAGTCCAATTGCA